CCGACTTCCGACTGGCGACGAAGTCGGAGCGTGAATGGTGAAGTTGGAAGTCGGATCACAGGTTGGATCGAAAATTTCCTCAGTCAGTTGACTTTCGGCACCTGTTACGTATGAGATTTCTATGAAATACTTTACGCAAAGATCTCTAGTTCGCGAATATTTAATAGAAAATAAACTTTCAATTGCACGAAAATTACCTTTTTGTTAGGGCAAATCATTTTCCTTTCTGTAGATCTATTTCGGACATTCCTATACAGGTAAATTTCCGATACTCCGGATTGGCTACGGAAGAATTATCAACAAACAATGAAAATTAAATCATAGTTGTAGCAAAAGATCCCTAGTTCGCAAAAAAATAATAGAAAATAACTTTCAATTGCACGAACAATTATTCCTATTAAAAATATACGACATACACACAACAAAATAAATCCCAGCTCCAGTTTAAAACAAATAAAATATAGATTTTATACCTATATAAATCTTTAAAAACTATAATTTTTTCCTACATCTTAAAAAGTCATAAAAATCAAGATTTGAAAAAATTAATTAGTTCAGCCCTAGACAAATACCTAGAGAAACTAAACCTAATTTTTAAATTATCATAACATACAAATAAAGATAACAAGCACAGTGCTGTCATTTTTCTCCTCCTAATTATATTTTGCGTAGTGTTTATTCGATACATCCTAGAACTGAAGTTGGACCGCTAGTTGGATAGAAAGTCGGAGCGTGAGTGGAGACGAACATCCAACTAGTGGTCCTACTTAGTGGTACCACAAGTCGGAACGTGAATGGCCTGCATTAATATTCAGAATATAAATTGTTGGTACTTTTGATGTTGTTTTAAAAACATTTAAAAAAACGACAGAAACTTTTTGTTCGAATATAAGTACTTCTCTTAAAATAAAATGTGTGCAGGCCATTCACGTTCCTACTTGTGGTACGACTAGTGGTCCAACTTCTGCAGTTGGATCAGAAATCGGACCGTGAGTGGGCTAGTTGGATTAGTTGGACAACTAGTGGTACGACTAGTGGGACGACTTGAAGATCCGACTTCCGACTGGCGACAAAGTCGGAGCGTGAATGGTGAAGTTGGAAGTCGGATCACAGGTTGGATCGAAACTTTCCTCAGTCAGTTGACTTTCGGCACCTGTTACGTATGAGATTTCTATGAAATACTTTACGCAAAGATCTCTAGTTCGCGAATATTTAATAGAAAATAAACTTTCAATTGCACGAAAATTACCTTTTTGTTAGGGCAAATCATTTTCCTTTGTGTAGATCTATTTGAACAATGAAAACAATGAAAATTAAATCATAGTTGTAGCAAAAGATCCCTAGTTCGCAAAAAAATAATAGAAAATAACTTTCAATTGCACGGAAAATTATTCCCATTAAAAATATACGACACACACAACAAAATAAATCACAGCTCCAGTTTAAAACAAATAAAATATAGATTTTATGCCTATACAAATCTTTAAAAACTATAATTTTTTCCTACATCTTAAAAAGTCATAAAAATCAAGAGTTGAAAAAATTAATTAGTTCAGCCCTAGACAAATAACTAGAGAAACGAAACCTAATTTTTAAACATACATATCATATTATTATATTTTGAGTAGTGTTTATTTGATACATTTTTTGGTTAAGCGATGTACACCATCGTGAAAACCAACTGAAGTTGGACCGCTAGTTGGATAGAAAGTCGGAGCGTGAGTGGAGACGAACATCCAACTAGTAGTCCTACTAAGTGGGACCACAAGTCGGAACGTGAATGGCCTGTCTAAGACACAAGTATGGTTATTGATGTAAAAAAACATTTCGTCACACTCAATCACATAGGTATAATAAGATTATTCAAATCAGAGAAATACTTTAATAAACTGAAATCAACTTATATTTTGCTATTATTAACAAATTTAAATTGTTTTTGATAATTAGTTTTTTTTATTATAAATCCAACATACGAAACAATAATAAAATATTTTTTAATTTGCTAAATACCTACAGTAAAAAAAATCGAACGATCACAACTAAAAAAAAGAAGTTATGGAGATTGGACTAGAAATAATCGCATAAAATACTAACAATGACTACTTCATTTTTTAAGTGAAGAGTCCTATTGAATGGCATCTAAACCAGTCCCTTAAATGTTTCAACAATAACACTCTCCTTCTTCCTATACTCCTTTCTTCTTCCTTTAAAATACTTTGAGGTTGCAAGGAAGCGTAATATGTAGTTAATCTAGACATAATAATAGATAAATTCAGAATGCCCACTCTCAGATGCCGCCTTTGAAGATTTTCAGCACGCGCGCCATGTTTTAGAAGGAGACACATAACACAGACATAGGATTTGTGAGGTTATGTAATTGTTTATATTTATGTTTAATTATATTATTATTTATGTTATTATATGTAACAATGTTAATATAATTGTATAGTATGTCTATGATTGCCGTAAGTCAATTAAACCGGGTTAATTTTTCTATGCACACCACATAAACAACACTGGTTCCCTCTAAAACATGGCGGAACGTCTGCGCGAAGGAGATGCGCGTACTTAATTTTCGAAAAATATTAAAGATAATGACAATACCACAAAAGAAAAATCACAAAGATTTTACAATAAATGTCTAAATGATATTCATAAAGTCTCAAGTTTGACCCGCTTTTCCTTTATGGTCAAATTCTTTACATTTTGATGGCCTTTTATATTTAATGTGTGTTTTGTAGCAATATTTATTTTGTTTGTAATACACACAATTAAATCGTAAATTCATATATTTCTTTAATTAATTCTACAAATTACTTATTAATTTTCAAAACACGTTTTCACAGAAAGTAACTAGTTATGACTTCTTAGTGCAAGATATGCCATCGAGGTATACTTACCGTTTAAAGTTTCAGTTTTGAAGTTGTTCATTACAGTAATGAAACAACGTTGCCATATGATGCATCGTTAAAATATGATACATACAAGTCCCCTGGCTTGTACTTGACAACGACAAGTGAGCATATCTTGTTTGTTATAGTATCATGGTTTTAAGCCAAGAAAGAAATTCAATGTCAGTTGTCATTTGTTTGTGTCACGAGGTTGTGATACTTTTCCCGCGTAAAAATAAATAAACAGTTTTTAGATATTGTAATATTATTTAGTGACATTCTGCGTTTCCTTGTAAATTGCATCATATTTTAAATATTGTCACATTTGACATCAGGTAAGTTTCTACAGTTTTGTTTTAGTCATAACCTAAAAACAGATACCTATCCGGTACTTTTAAAAAACTATACATACGAGGCAGATGTGGATACCATACAGGGGAACAAGTGGACAGAATCGTGAACGTAGATGAAACCGGAGTGAACACTGTTCTGCAAATCCCAAAGGGGTCGCAAATAAGGATTGTAAGCTAGTGGGACAAGCAGATGGGGTAGAGAAAGGTGAGCAAGTGACATTTGTTGGAATAATCATTGCCAATAGAAATGCAATTCCACCTGTTTATATCCTTTCACGAGTGCGATTTAAAGAGTCATTCGTGACTGGAGCTCCAGAAGGTAGCATTGGTATTGCTTCTCCAAGTTATTGGATGACCAACGAAGGATTCCTCGAAGTTGTAAGGCATAAAAAAGAAAATCATGCATCCTTCTAAGGAAAACCCTGTGTTATTACTTCTGGATAACCATAACACACATGCAACGTTAGATGTTATATTGTATTACAGGGAAAATGGTTTAGTAATTTTGAATGTTTCCTCCACACACAACACATCGTTTGTAACCTCTGGATGTGTGTATATTTGGCCCTTTTAAAGGTCGTTGTCGTGTAGCATTCAACTTATGAATGTCTACACATCAATGAAAAGCTATAAAAATTTATGATATTTCACATCTAACAGCTCCAGCCTTTGACGAAGCATTTAATAGAAAAACATTATTTCTGGGTTTTTAAACACAAAATAAAAATATCTTTTCTTCAGAAGATTTCGTAGGAGTTGAAGTTACGAAAGTTAGCGATGTATCGCAGAGAGATGCCACAACTGACGATTGTCTAAATTGTAGTACACTCTCTAATTCAGAAATGCCTTCTATATTATCATCGGCAAATGTTCAACCACAAGTCAACAATAATTGTCAACCTGTTTTAATTACTACACCAGAAGGTGAAGGAGAAAGAGAAACGGGCTCGGGAAAGAAAGGCAAGCAATTTAGAAAAAAGAAAAAGTCCCCCATATTCGCAAAGTTTTTGATGAGGAGTCATTAGAAAGCGAAATTGAGAATTATTGCGAAGAATCAGATGATAGTCTTATGGAAGATGAAACTAAAAATGGTAAATATTTTGAATTGGATCTTACTAATATCCAGAAAGGGAATTGTGTTCTCATTAAATTTGGTACATGTGGACTAATTACATCTACATGGAATTTAATGCACATGACTTAAATAATTCAATTACTGTCAAATTTAAATGTACACAAAGACTCACAAATAAGTGAATCTTACATTGAAGAAACCGATACTTTACAATGAATCTCATTTTGCGGTATAATTTTTTTTTTTTTAATTTGTTTTACATGTGCCCCCTCTGCCCTAAGTATTAACCACACTTTTGTAATAACCTTGGTCAAAATTTTAACTTTTACGTTTGATTTAACTATCGTTATTTTAGGATAGTACTGATGATGGAATAGTTACTCTGAAAACGTTCTGCAGTAAAGCCCGATAATGTTTTTATATTAATGTACCTTTTATAATGTAAAGATGTAAGATGTCTTACCTATGTAAGACATTTTTTAAATAATTTTTTTTTTAATTTAAATAGTTTATATCACAAAAATACAACTAGACTTGGAAAAAAGGCTATAGTTAGCATAATATTCAATTTATATTATTATCTTTGAGAACTGTTTAAAACTATTTAATAACAATCACATATAATACAAAACTGTAATTATATTTTTTGTATTTCCTTTGTGTTGTCTTCTTTTGGACATTCTAATTCTGGAACTCAGATTTAATTAATTCAGACCAGACATCTGTAGGATATAAAGAAGCTGCTGCATCCATTTTAATATTGTCAAAGTTGGTAATATTTAGAAACGACAGATTGTTTCCTTTGGTTGGTAACCATTCCAAGTTCTCGGCGATAATTGGATTCCTGGAACAAAAAAATGCTTAAAAACCATTTTAATAAATAAAGAGTTTTTGATATATTTTACTTTTTTTATAATATTTTATAATATTCTTCTATTTTTTATAATAATCTTCACCAATAAGCTAAATAATATTGTTCAATTTATTACTGATGGCCAAAATATCTGACGTGTACATGAATATAAATATCTTGGAACTTAAATAAATGAGAATAATGATGTTCTGGGAATTTTACTGGGAATATTAAGCTGAAGTTAAAATAAAAACATGACTGGCATGGGCTGCTTTTAATAAACTAGAATATATTTAGGTTTAATAGCGTGCACATACGCACCGAGTGTAACGGAGTAATGATAGCCAAAAATTATCAACGAAAGCGATCGGCAATGCGGCAATCAACACACAGACATTCTCAATTTTATGTATTTATATAATTTACTTGTATAGCGTAAATTGAAATAATCAATCGACCTATGTATAAATAAGTATCTTCCACAATCCAGTAAATAGTTTCTTGCACATAAGGTTTGGTCCTTCGAGCCAGATTGAAAATCATCGACATAGAAGTAATTTAAAATAGCATTACTAGCAAATGAATATTCCGTTTTGTGATCAATAGCTACCTGTTTTAATGCTCTTATTCCAAAGAAGCGGTACATTTTTTCAATATCACTGCAGATACTTAATGTTTGCAAAAATGTATTAGAATAGAGTTAAGATCATTTTGTATCTTAGGCCCCACGATCTGGAGATTGTTCAAGTGATCAAGAAGGATCACCTTTAAATGGAATGTTTACTACAAATCTACCTTCCCAAAAACTCCTCCATTCCTCTAAACTTCCAGAAAAAGGTATATAACACATGCATACTATAAGCCTGTAACTACGAGTTAGAGACCGTAGACCGCACCAGAAAATCTATTCTAAAACCTTGGAAACAACGCAAAGGGTACAGACATAAACATGCTTGGAATATCATTACGAGGCAAGATTAGGAACACCGAGGCAAGACGTAAAATGGAAAGGGTTATACAGAAAAAATAATTAAAACGAAATAGCGCTGGGTTTCATAGCCAGATATGATAATAGGTAGACACGGAGAATCCTATAATCCCCAATAACCCCTAGAATACCCAACGAAGGCGGAAGAAGAAGCATTGGAAGACCTCGGAAGCATAGACGGGTAGTTGATATATAAAAAAGCCGAATTCAACTGTAAAAATTTGTCAATTTATGTAAAAGTGGACTGTTTAATATTAATTTAATTGCACTTGCCACTCTTCTTAGGCATAGATTGTGATATACAAATACAAATCGACCGAGAAGTCAGTATAATCATTTTTGCTTACGACTACTATTTTACTTACCCCTTACTAATAAACGAAGTCATAAAATTATTAAATATTCTCTTCATATTTTTGTCACTTTCGCTTAATTGATGAAATATGAAACATCCATATGCAAACACAGTATCCTGACAATGGGCAACACCTTAAATTTAAAATTGTGATAATTGTTATAATTTAAAAAAAAATACTTCAATTTAAAATAAGCTGACTAACGAAAATTGAGAAAAAGAACTTATACTACGGTTAAAACCTACGTTTTTGCATACACCAAACAAAACCGTAGACAGTGTAGTTAAGATTATAATAATAAAAAATTATATAAAAAAAAATCCAAGAAAAGGAAGCTTTTTTAAAAATCTGTAACTGATCCAGTGATATCATTCAGCACTAAGAACTAGTGGTTTGCTTCAATGTTCAATAATATTTTGCGTACTTACCACTAATTTTCTTTTGTGGGCAGAAAAAATCAGCTAATTGAGTAGTACTTTGATCATAATTGAAGAAATATACATAAACTGATTCTTTATTAGCTTTAGCTTGTAGCTTTGCGGCGATTTCGACACCAGAAATGAATAAACGATCACCAAACATCTAACAAATATAAAATTTTGTTATACTTAAGCAATATATAATAAGAAAGAGAAGAACAAATATAAAATAACAAAGATAGTCCAAGACTTCTACAAAACCTTGTACAGCTCGCAAAGCCAGCTTAATGAATCAACAATGGATAACGACAAAAGAAAACTAATGGACGTGGGATCAGTCACTAGTAAATATATAGGGATCTAAAATAAAAAAAGCTTTAAAAGAGCTAAAAATAATAATAAAGCTCCAGGACACGACAGTATAATTGCCGAACTCTTAAAAACAAGCAAGATAGTAACAATCCCCATACTAACAGGGTTATTTAATAGATGTCTCCATATTAGCCAAATCCCCAGACTGAAACGAGAGTCTAGCAATACTCTTAGACAAAAAAGGGAACAAATGTGACCTAAAGAATTGTAGACCTATATCGTTACTCAGTCAATTATACAAAATATTTATAAGAGTTATTAACAATCCCTTAACTTACAAAATGCATAATTATCAGATGGTTGAACAAGCTGGTTTTCGCAAAGGATACAGTACATCAGACCATCTGCTGACAATGAGAACACTGATAGAGAAGATAAACGAGTACCAACTGCCCGTATTTTTTGCCTTCGTAGACTATGAAAAGGCATTTAATAGTATCGAGATGTGGGCCATAAAACAAGATATTAATAATTGTAGAATCTTCTTCTTCATGTACCATGTCCTGTTAGAACGTTAGTTACGATCATAGCTATCTAAATTTTATTCACTGCTACCCTAAATAGCATGCTTGTATCAACACCATATCAATCTCGCAAATTCTTCAACCATGAGGTTCTTCTTCGTCCTGGACTGCGTTTGCCTGCTATTTTTCTTTGCATGATATTTTAAAGCAACCTATATTTGGGACCTCTCATTACATGTCCGAAATACTTTAGCTATTCCTGCTTGACGCTTTTTATGATCTCAGTAGTCTTGCTGAGACGTTCTAGTGTTATTGAGTTTCGAATCTTCTTCACCCAGGAAACTTTTAAAATTCTTCTATAGCACCACATTTCGAAAGCCTCAAAGCGATTTAGATCGATTTTATTCTTAGTCCAGGACGCGACACCATAAACTAAGACCAAGAACACGTAGCAGCGAAGTAGGTGGATTCTTAATGCCAATTTTACGTCTCTGTTAGATAACACCTTGGACATTTTTCTAAAAGCAGCTCTAGCCTGCTCTATCCTAGCGTTACAATTTAATTGCTGTCCAAGTTAAACGATTTTATAAACTTGCTCAAGTTTGGTATTCTTTACATATATAGACGGTTTTATATATAAATACTCTTAATAAATACAACAGCATATAAGACCGTCTAATTGTAGAGTAGGTTCGATATATAGTCAATTAATAGATATATATATATATATATATATATATATATATATATATATATATATATATATATATATATATATATATGAAACCGCATCGCTATGATAGTACAATTAGGCGATAATACAAATCTCATCCCTATTAAGAGATGAGTTAGAGAAGGCGACGTAATATCTCCAAAGCTTTTTAATCTAGCCCTAGAAGACGTCTTGAAAACTACAAAACAAATTGGTCAACATATGGCATCAACGTTACTAGCAACACAAATTGGTCCAAATATGGCATTAATGCTAATAGCAACAAGTGAAACCACCTCACATTTGCAGACGATATCGTGATTATGGCGAGCACATTCGATGAATGAGGAATTCGTAGGTAGCTCCCAATACATTGGCCTAAAAATACATATGACAAAAAGAAAAACAATGACATACACAGACGACCCTAGATATAATTATAAATTGCAGTGAGATAGAACAAGTCCACGAATATATCTACCTAGACTGGCTTTAGATTCACACTACCATCGGCACTGAGAGCTCAGTACGTAGTTTGTCAGCGCCGAGGGTCAGCGTGAGCGTATCGTTCGAATCGCCACGGAGTTCATACAGGCACAAAATGCGAAGAGTAATAATCATTCCTGCTTTATACTACATTTATTACGTTATACGGTATTCTGAGGGCTGACGAAACAAAATTCTTTTTACTTTCATATGTCAACTAGCACTTTCGATGAATTACTGGCGAAGACAGACGATAAACTAGTCTATGCCAGTGCGGTGACTAGTGTATGACCTGTACCTATACCACTGATTAAAAGACTGAAGGTGACTTTAAGGTGAGAAAAAAACATTTATTGTAATTATCATACTGTTTAATATTCATAGGAAAGAACTATTTTTCATATTATTATTGATCATTATACTAGTTGTTTGATAATCAGCCTAACCTGAAGGCGTATCATTTGTTTGATACCATGAGTAAACTGGAGTCACATCATTGATTTAAATCCGTGAATAGACTGGATTCGTATTATTGTATGATGATGATCCATTCGGCTCATGTTGCGGTGAAAACATGTCATGTGAGTGAGAGTATAACGAGGTATTTTTCCGGTAATTGTAATTTTTAATTTCCATCGCATCCCGCAATACTCTCGACCGAAACTCTAGTTTTTGTTGTACATCAAAACATTTTAAATTTTGACCTAAAGAAGAAAAAAAAAACCAGGTCGTCGGCGACAAGATCTGGTGTTTGATTATTTAGTAAATTTAATAACTCTCTTTCAAAAAGTAAATTTCTTTGGTTTTTTTTGTTGCGGCCTTTTTTTTTACTTTTGGACCCAAGGTCTTTAGGATGTTCCAGAATCATCCGCATGATCGTTTTGGTCTTCCTGTAAAGTCTTTAAAAAAGCTTGATGCGTTGGCATATTAAAATCTTGCGTACTATCCGGTGAGACCTATTATTCATAGTTACATAGGATGATAGTATGGTTTAGTTCAGTAATTCATCAATTTCATTCTCATCTGACGGAGACAGGAAGCTTATACAGCTTAAACAGGAAGTATGCATCTCTGGTTGTTTTCCATCTTTGTTGGATCAGTTTTCCTGAAACAATAAAAACCTTTTTTTTTACAGATTTTTGGCTATAGGTCGGACATATATAGATCTGCATTATTCATTTCGAATTGGAATTGCAACAATCAGTGTAATCGTGGACAATGTATGTAAGGTAATATGGGAGATACTACATGATGAATGCCTACCAGCCAAAATCTTTGATATGTGGCAAGAAATTGCTAATGGGTTTCTACAAAAGACCAACTTTCAAAATTGCATTGCAACTATCGATGGCAAGCACATTCTAATCATAAATTTAGATGGTGGTGGATCAATGTTCTACAATTACAAGAATTTTTACTCCATAGTTCTCCTAGACACGTGAGATGCAGATTATGGTTTTACATATGTAAACATTAGATCATATGGAAAAAACTCGAATTCATTTATATTTCAATACAGTATACTATACAGGAGCCTAGAGAATGACACTTTAAATATAACAGGACCAAAGCCTCTGCGTGGAACAAATACTTCAGTTAAACATGTAATTGTTGATAATGATGCTTTTGAAATATCTAAAAAAATTATGAAGTCATACGCGCGACCTAATATGATACGTCAAAAAAAAATATTTACCTATAGACTGAACCGTAGTAGACGATATATAGAATCAACATTTGGTATAATGTCAAACAAGTTCAGAGTGTTCCATAGACCTATTAATGTGGGTTTTAATGTTACAAAAAATATAGTTAAAGCATGCTATGTCTTGCAAAATTTTATAAGAGTTTGCGATGGTTATCATATTAACGATAAACTCACAATTCAGGGTATAGTAGAAATACCAAAACAAAGACAAAGGTAAAAGAGAACAACGTCTTTTCAAATGAAATACAGATTGAGAGGGGTGTCAGGCAGGGCTGTGTCCTGTCTCCTACTTTATTAAATTTGTATTTAGAGGAAATAATCCAGGAAGCACTAGAAGAACTAACTATGGGAATAAAAGTAAATGGCCGACCAATCAATAATATACGGTTTGCCAACGACACTATTTTATTAGCGGAATGTCTTGAGGATTTACAACAAATGGTTGACAGAGTGGTAGAAGTCGGTGAAGAAAACACAAAAAAGACATAATTTATGGTAATTACAAAAGCCCAACAGCGCCAAGAAAATATAACGATATGAAGAACAAATTAAAAAAGTTGCAAAATATAAATATCTGGATATAATAATTAATCAAAATAATGAGTACACGGAAGAGATTAAGGCACGAATTGGACAGGCAAGAAATTCTTTTAACAAACTGAAAAAAGTACTCTGCAGCAGGGATGTTTCAATTTCTTTAAAGATAAGACTTCTGAGATGCTACGTGTTCTCCGTATTATTTTATGGGTTATAGGCTTGGACTTTAAAGAAAGATGTTTTGGACATATTGGAAGCCTTTGAGTTATGGGCCTACAGAAGGATATTATGAATAAGTTGGGTAGATGGAGTCACGAATGGGTCTGAAGAGGTCTTAAATACAGTTAAAGTCAGAAAACTGCAATATCTAGGACATGTTATGAGCGGCGAGCGTTATAACTTGTTGAAAATTAATAATACAAGGAAGAATACAGGGTAGAAGGAGTCGCGGAAGAAGACACATCTCCTGGTTGAATAATTTGAGAGCTTGGTTTAACTACACTTCTGCTGACTTCTTTAGAGCAGCGGCGTCGAAAGTGCGAATTGCCATGATGGTTGCCAACCTTCTTAGAGGAGATGACACGTGAAGAAGAATAAATACCAATTGTACCTACAAACAGGTCTGGTAACTTTCTGCGAAAACATTTTGCCGAGTACTTTTTGAGCCCTATTGGTAGAATGCCCTGGCAAGACATGTGTATATTTTAAACTATTTGCTTTTTTCGTTCTGTAGTATAGGTGTTCTAAGATAATAAAACAAAATACTTACCTAGTTGTTGTTCTTCTTCCTCCGACACATTTTCGAACAATGTAACAATATCCTCCCAGAATTTGTTTCTTGCGTCTTTATTTTTATAGAATGCATCAGATGCATTCCACAAATGCCTTCTTAGGTGTACTTCATCTATCACTCGACTTGTATCTATATCCATATTGCGCTTGGACCTGGTTGTACACACTAACGGCGTCCACTCGGTTCGACACTAGGCAGAGGAGCGTGTACGATGGTCAGCGCTGACTTCTACACGGCGCCGACGAGCGACGCGTACGGCCGCTGGGCTGTGAGCGCTGACCGCCGTCCGCGCTGATAGCTAAGCGTTATTCAAAACGCTTCCTTGAATTGCATATAGTTCGGCAGTCGGCGCTGACTCTAAAACCAGCCTAGACCAAATTCTAAAATTTGACAACGAGAACCAAAGTGCATAAATCACTAGAAGAGCAAGACTGGCTTGGACAGGATTTAGATACATCACTTGGCTACTAAAGAACCGCAAAATACCTTGATACTTAAGAAGTATTCAGTGTTTAACCAGTGCATAATTCTCTTTCTATAATGACATATATGGATGTCACACATGAACACCAAATAAGCCAAATATGAATAAACTAGCCACGATAGAAAGGGCAATGGAAAGAGCAATGTTAGGTATACGACTATCAGATAAAAAGAGGAACGACTGGGTAAGACCAAAAACAAAAGTCGAGGATATCACAACAAAACTTGCCAAACACAAATAAAGTTTTTCAGGTCACACTGCTAGACAAAAAGACCAAAAAGAACAAGGTTGGAGTGCCACAATACAATATTGAAGACCTTACAAAGGCAGATGACCAAGAGAAAGACCCATATGAGATAGGAAGATGACATCAAAAGAATAGCTGAAACAAATTGGAAGTATGTTGCTCAGGATAGAGATCTATGATATATGATCATAATAGAGATCAGATAGAGTTGGGAGATATTTATGTTTAAAAATGGAAGATAGAATGACAATTAATCAATATAATTTATATCAACAGAAATATGTAAAATTGATGAGAATTTAGTGCATTTTAATCAGAAATCAAGTTTTAAGTCAACAAATAAATGTGTCTAGTTTAGAATAAAGATCATCATGGGATAAAAGAGAATGAAGAAGTTGATCAAAAAGCTAACAGATGAAGTAGAACAGGAGAGTATTTATGGTTTAAATATTTTCACATTGAAATTGCTGCCAGGTATGGCCCATAATACTAACAGAATTGAAAGAAGTACATGGGAATATTAAAAAAGGACAATTTTATAAAAATATCGTTACCGAGCTTTCTCGTTAAGCTTTGTTCTTACTAAGAGAATCTTCATCAAGAATATTGAAGTCAGCAGCTTTTCACCGTATTCTTTAGATTAAAGTTTAACCATATTTTAACTCCTCAGCATAATTTTCAAATAAAATTAAATGATTCTTTAAATTATTGTACACTTCCCGTCATATAAAACTGGTACACTTTTTTTTCCCAATGTAAACCTGTGTTCACAAATCAATTCCTTGTTGCCAACACATATAACGGAATTGCACTAAATCTAAATAAAAAAATAACGTTAAAAAATGTATAAAATTTTTAGATAGGTATTATTTTTATCATTAACATCAAAAAAACCGTATCTAAGAAATTAAATAAGCAAAGACAGGGTTGAGTTATTGTCCAAAATGTTTGCAGGATCTTTAAACCTGTAGTATTGGCACAGGGCACAGGGAACATTAAAATGCACCTACTGTAATTTTATACTTCAATTACCTACCGAACACGAACTGTATTTTGTGTCAATAAGTTTAGTAACAAACTACCAAGATTAAATTATTATTTATTACAGGAACAATAAATGTAAAAAAATAACATTTTACTTTATCCTACGTATTATAAACTATAAAATATCCGTGGCGAAAAAACGCTTTTCAAAACGTGACAGTTTCAATCCAATATCTCACTGTAATATTTTATTATGATAATTTGAAGTTTGTCTAGGTTGATTATGTGTCATTATTTTTGAATTGAAATATTTTCATAAATTGTTATAAAATACAAATCAATGATAATTACATAATAATTACAAATCAATGGTAATTAATTGAGATGATGGAAAATTACAAAATTAATATGAGAATTTTTTAGGATGCATGTTTCAATAAATTTAATGTGACTGACTGATCGAGAATGCTCGATAATGTTTTAGTTTTTAGTATTGTCACAACTGGCGGTCTGTCACACAGTCCTGCTTTTAGCTGGTTTTATATAATATTTTCGTTGAACTGGCAATGGTGCCCTAGAAATTAGAATGACACATTTGACAAGATCAACTTACACAACTTAAAAACACGATTTTTGATTATAAGAATTGTACCAGTTTTTTATGACGGGAACGGTACATACAGAGAAGAAAGTAGGTATATTATATTTGGCTTTTATAAAATAAGAGTTTTTATGTGTTTATATGGTTTAACAATGACAGTAGGGAAATTTTATGAAAATTGTATTGTATTGTATTACATTTATAAAGTATTTTGAAAACATATTATTTTCATTTACCTGCGTCAGTTTATCAAAATTTTCTTCACTTATATCAGTTTCTTGTCCAAAATAGAAGTCTCTGATTTTCTTGGCAAATATGTTTCTATCTTTTTCTGGATATGTATAGTTATAGTCTAGCAATAAGTGGGCTTTCTCAAAAAAATCTCTGTTTATACCTTCCTGATTTGTACAAAAATCTACAAATTGGCAAAAAACGGAACGAGTTAAAATAACACATGTAGGTAGAAATGGAGATGTATAATATTTATAAACTGTAACATAAGTAATTATATTTAAATATCTTGGTTGCCATATTACTGAACAACTAGATCCAGTTCAAGAGATAAAATGTAGAATCGAGATAGCCCACACGACATTTTTAAAAATGAGGTCATTTTTCTGTAATGATAACTTGAAACTTCAACTTCGAAAGCGTATGGTTAAATGCTACATTTGGTCAGTCCTCTTATACGGTGTCGAAGCATGGACATTAAAAATATCCACCATTAATCGTCTGGAGTCCTTTGAAATGTGGCTGCACAGACGTATACTAAAAATCCCTTGGACGGCTATGCTGACAAATGTAGCAGTCCTTGAGAGAACAAATGCTGCTCGCGAGCTGCTTGATAACATTAAATGTAGAAAGATGGCCTATTTTGGACACGTAGTAAGGGGAGACCGATATAATATTCTTCATTATTATGATGGGTAAAATCGAAGGACATGGAGGAATTGGTAGAAAGCAGGCCTCTTGGTTGAAGAATATCAGAGAGTGGATAGGAATAAAGAAAGCTGAGCAACTCTTTAGAATAGCTCGAGACAGAGGCAGTCTCGCCATGTTAATCGCCAACGTCAAGGGGACTTGATAGGGCATGTTAAGAAGAAGAAGAAAATAAGTAATCAGAATATATCGTCGGGTTACAAGCAAAATACACTAAGTCAGTTTTTGTAATTTTTTACTTAATTACATATTGATATTGCAATTTGTTTAGTTTATGTACTAGCAAACTCCAATAAGTGTTTTCGCATTCTTGACAGCACAAAACAATAAAATTCTACATTCACTCTTAGTCTTTAACAGCGAATTTTTGTTAAGGCAAAATCCATGAGTGACTGAGTGGATTTTGCTGAAGGCAATTATTTGAATTAGTGGATTTTACTGTTTAAATTTGGTTTTAAAATATTAGTTAAAATGGATTTAGTACAAGTTTCAGCTTGCAAAATATTTCTTCGTCGCTTTATGTGTGGTAATTGATGAGTCAGGTGTGTCCCAGACGTTGAAACGAAACTTCTTTATTTCTTTATAAAACGTATTGAAAAAACATTTGCCAAAGTTAAAAAATTTGAGAACGGTCAGTCAAATAGTCAAATCACGAGTAGAAATCGTCCTAATTTGAAGAAGAAACAGCGAATGTGTACGACTCATATGATTCCATGAAAGATAGAGACTGGATACCGCACACTTCGTCAGACATTGAAAGTGATAGTTAGGAAAGGGAGGTAAGTCTAAAATAACAAAATGTGATAGTAGATGAAAACATTGCCGGTCAAACAAAAAGTAAACCCAATAACAGAAGAGAAACAAGTCAGGTGGAATCAAGCGAAACCAGCGCTTTCGAAAAGAAATATCGAAAGAAAAAAGAAGATTTAAGGTTTACCTTTTAAAAGCAGAACAGGAAAAACGCAGGTACCAAAGCTACCTAAACCTTGTTGCTCTACTGTTGATTGCTCGCGTTTCAGGTTTAAATGCATAAACAATTTTTCCTCGTAGGGTCGTACTGAAATATGGCGTACATTTTCTGTGCAAAACTCTGTATTTCAAAATTTACCAATCATCAATACATTTCAACATAAAAGTAAGAGTGGAGAATATGGAGCTGAAGACAATCGAGCTAAACAATTTCCGTGCAATAAAATATCTACAAAAATTAGATTAAGAGTGAAAAATCATATTGAGAGATTCACAGTGATGGCAAGTCACTAAACAAGAAAGTGAACAAAAAGACTCTACCTAAATAATAATCTGAATATAAAAAAGATGCATGGTCTCTTTTTTAAACATTGCCAAAGAAGTAATATGCCATATTTAAGCCTCATTACTTACAGACGAATCTTCTGTAAGGAATATAATTTTTCCTTTTTCAAACCAAAAAAAGATCAATGTATGACTTGCAGTGAACATAAAAAGGCCGCTCCAGAAGAGATGCTAAAGCCGGAACAAAAGTATCAGATGCATTTAGAAAGAAAAGATGCAGCAATGAAAGAAAAAGAAGCCGACAAACAGAGGGCAACTGATGACAATCCTTGATGTCATTGAACAGAAGTTTATGTAGAGTGGGCATTCCTACATGTAATTGATTTTTATGTATAGTGTCATCGAAACCGCGAAGCACAAAATAGATATTTTTAGAGAAAATTAATACGATAATATCTTTAGAATATCAATAAAAAACAGATAACATGATAAATTTGCTTCAAAACAAGAAAAATTTTTGGATTTGAAGAAAGTGTCTCAGATGATGATAATAAATGAAAACAAAGACTTTGAAGGAAATATTGTTAATTGGTTAAACGTGAAATGTTTTTAGTATCAAAACCAATTATCCAACGTTATTCAATATAATTATAATTTTGCAGATGAGTATAAAAGTATACATGTTAATTTTAAACGAACTTTTAGCAAGAGAAACGTTAAAGGGGACTTTATAAAATTCTAACCATTCGTAAATTGTACACTAAGCAGTTGCCAATTTCTAAAATAAAAAAAGGGACTTGGTGAAATTATTTAAAAAAAAATATTAATAAAGAATAATACAGCCGAACCATCATCTGTTCTAATTATATTATTTAAAAAAAAAAGTGACCAATATTCACAAAAGCAATTTAGAACTATACATTTAAAAATATACTTTGAAAAGTAAGGCTGTTATCGAGCACAAGTTAATTAAATCTAGCCCAAGTACTTTCGCTTAAAATAGCATCTTCATGGGCATTTCGTCAAAATATAAACTATCCGGCAAGCGTAGGATGTGGAAACAATAATACTAACATAAAATTGTACAAAACACTACACTAAAACGAGGACAAACAGTTTAAAATTACTTTAAAGATTCTACGCTACATTCTTTGTCAGCATCTGGAGGGATAATAGTTTAAAATTACTTTAAAGATTCTACGCTACATTCTTTGTCAGCATCTGGAGGGATAATAGTTTATCCCTCCAGATACTGACAAAGAATGTAGCGTAGAATCTTTAAAGTAATTTTAAACTGTTTGTCCTCGTTTTAGTGTAGTGTTTTGTACAATTTTATATTATTATTAATGTTTCCACATTCTACGCTTGCCGGATAGTTTATATTTTGACGAAATGCCCCTGAAGATGCTATTTTAAGCGAAAGTACTTGGGCTAGATTTAATTAACTTGTGCTCGATAATAGCCTTATTTTTCAAAGTTCATTTATTCGAGCATTCAGCCTCATTTCAACAATTCAATTTAAAAATATATCTACAGAATTTTCTGTAGATTATCTATATTAAAAACAAAATTAAAATGTATTTTTTACATTGTAAATTTCAACAATTTGGTTCACAATTCATCCGAACAAGAACTTGTATCGTCATTTTTAAATCGTTATTGCTACCAAAATATATCTATTACATTGTTTGCGTGTTTTTCAAAATGCTCTAGATAAATTTTGTTTACTTTCAAAGTAATCAATTAAGGTATTATATGCAATTATATAATTTAAATCTTGCAAATTAATGTTTTTGCCCTAAGTGATTGCAGAACATAACTAAATCTAGAAACAATCCGTCGGTGAAAGTCATAACAATTCACGCGAAGAAGAAGAACATTATTATCAATATCTAAAAAAGCACTTACATCCGCTAGGAAATATTCCCTCATCTCTATTAACTGAAACAATCCATGGCAAATCCAATACTTTACCATTCACCAACAAACTGTAAGGATGTTCGGGCAAAAAAGGATTGCTTGCCCATGTATCAATTACAACACTGAAAGGAGATATAGGCAAATGAACGTATTCCATAAAATTCTCGATTTGTTCTATCAATAGTTTCGCAGGTTTTTCTTTCAGACAAGCTTTTAATGCTAATGTGGGTGATGTGGAACAGCCGACATCTGCAGCCAGTTTTTGGGCAAATATTAAAGGCTTTTCTTTAATAAACCAAGGACTGATAGCTGAGCCGCTATTAGAAATTCCTCTTATGAAGAGATCTTTCGACCAAGGTGATAAATAATGAAGATGAACACTTGATGCCCCTGATGAAAACCCAGTTATGGTAATGGATTTTGGATTTCCACCAAATGATCGAATATTGTCTCGTATCCACTTAAGGGCCATTACTTGGTCCTTCATACCGTTGTTTCCCGGTACTTCATTATCTTCCGTTGATAAAAATCCTAAAAGTGCAAAATTGAAAAATGAGATACAAAAATTTAAGTATATTAAAAAGAACGTACCTAGTGGCCCTAATCTGTAATTTATTGAAACAAAAATTACATTTTCAATATCCATCATAAAGGAAGCGTTTGCAAATTGACCAGAGCCAACCATTAATGCTCCTCCGTGAATAAAGAAGTTTATATCGTAACTGTTTTTAGGATCCACTACGCCTGGTATATATATATTAAGATATAAGCAATCTTCTGCTCCTAAAAATTTTAAAAACAGAGAACAGTAGACCTGGTATATATATAAACAGATATATAGATATATTTTCAGATATACATATATAGATATAAATACGTAGGAAACTGTCAGGTAAAGTGATCTATATAAAAATCTTTGTATTGTTCTGAAACTATTTTCTTGTGGCATCTTAAAGTTATTGCTATTTAACTGGGAATAATCCACAACTAAAGGTTAAAATACGTTTATTGACGTTTCAATTTCTACTTCGGAAATCGTTCTCAAAATACAAACATTAGTAAATTAAACAAATTTTGTTTTTTTTGTTATTTTATCTGATCTGAAATTTTATCTGACTCATTTATATTGACAATTCAAACATATATTATACATTTTACAGTAGACGACTTCAAAATGATATTGCCAATATTGTTCATTCGATTACATGAAATCAAGTTTAACTTGAGAATATCCGTCAGAAAAAATCATAGCATGTAATTCGTCTTTAAAAAGACAAACACATGCCATGATGACCCCGACAAGGTAAGTATCTGGTCGTGCATTTAGTTTACCTTCAATAAACACCAAATTCTGATTTTATATGTTTGTTATTTAGAAAACATAAATGATGTATCCTCCATATGTTACTGACTTACTAATACTGGTATTTTCTTTTTAATAATTTCCTCTTTCAATATGGGTAACCAGATCCTACTACATTCTGCCGAGGAATTTGGGACACAATTGGTCTCATTTAGTATAATTAGAGCCGCTTCTTTGATTTTTCTCTTTTTAGGATCCATTTCTTTTAGGACTATATTTCAGTCATTCCATTGAACCCTATATTCATTATCCCATGCGTGTTTACATATTTGAGATATATCAAATTCTCTATTTTTAATATAAGAGTGATTTTCACTTATTCTAATATTTAATGGCCTTGATGTTTCACCTAAATAAAACTGATCGCATTCACAAGGTATTTTATAAATGCAATTCTTTGTCCTTTCTTGTTCATTGTTAGGTTTGGTTTTGGACAAAATAGATCTCAACGTGTTTGTTGTTTTGAATGTTGTTGAAAAGTTGAATTTATTTCCTAAACTTTTAAGTTTTTCTGATAATCATTTTATGTATGGTATTGTTATTTTCCTTCGTATTATTCCTTGTGTATGCTCTCGGATCTCGTTCTAAGTTGTTCTGTTCTATTCGATCGATTGTTTAAAATTCCTTATTTATAAACAATAAATGATAATCATTTTTTAATAAAACAGATGTTAACAAATGTTTCTCCTCCAAGAACGAATTTTCGTTAGAACAAGTAATTTTGGCTCTATCGTATAAGGATTTTATGATTCCCTTTTTAATATTAATATTGTGATTTAATTTGAAATTTAAATATCTGTTGGTGTGTGTAGGTTTTCTATACACCTAAGTCTCATATCCAGTATCGTTTTTAGAGCTTAAAACATCCAGGAAAGGTAGTGTGTTATTATATTCCTTTTCCATGGTAAATGTTATTGTCTCTTCTTTATCGTTTATATCATTTAGGAATATGTCCAACAACTCTGATCCTTGAGGCAATATTGAGAATATACTATCTTCATATCTCCACCATACTGTGGGTTTTAAATTTTGTTTAGAAATGATATTTGTTCTAACATCTTCCATAAATATATCGGCTAATAATGGAGATAAACTAGAGCCTATTGCTAGACCAAAATTTTGTTTATAGAATTGATTATTTAGTTGAAAATATGTATTTTCAGTACATAATGTTAATAAAATCATTATAGCTGATATGTTTAGTCTTGTTCTAGTTGCCAATGTATCATCACTCTCTAATTTTGTCTTGACTATATTTTATTATAAATATGTATTTATTTATTTTATTATAAATTGTTTATTTACGAATGTGCCATTAGATAAGACTTTAAATATACAACAAGACTAAATATACACTTAATAGTAATATACATTTTTAACTAAATAATGAATTCTATACACAAAATTTTGGTCTAGCAATGGGTCTAGCAATGGGCAAGTTAAATTTTGGTGCTTATATTTCGGTTTTGTCATCTCTACATCTAGAAAAAAACGTCAGTTTGGAACGTTTTTTTTTATAAATACTTATTCTTAAAACTAAGTATTATTACCACAATTTACCAATGACAGGTCCCAGCCCTTTAAGATTTCTTTGTGGACAGGCAGATGATTTTGTCGCATCTATCACTTCCTTCCACGGTTCAACAGGAACAGGTTCCTTAAAATAACAAACAATATGAGAAAATTATTTTAATAAATATTTTTAACTTTAACCCAATTAAATAAAAAATTTTAATTGGAAGTGGCAAAAGTGAAAACATGCATTTCAAAGGTCCTCCCAAATTTTTAAAGATTTAAACAGTTCTAAGCAGAAAATTCCAATAGTTTTTGTTTATAAACAGATTATATTCAATATAATATATTATATATATATATATATATATATATATATATATATATATATATATATATTGTCGTATACGAGTATATTACTAGAATAATAAGTTAAAAATTACTATGAGTTATTTTCAGTCCGGCATAGTTAAGCAGTATGAGCGCAAATAGCGGGTGTAAACCATACGAAAAAGTGAATCAGAGTATAATATCGACACATCAAATTCAGAAGTTCTCTTGTAGAAGAAATAATATGATATTAAAATATCACTTCATCTACATAGATAAGTACTATTTATATTTCTAAACATCTTTCCGAAATGAATTTAAATGTAAATATTTTTTTAGTTTTAATTTATTTATTTACGCTGTACCCACAAGGGATATTAGCGAACTAAAAAAATAATACAGGTAAAGTTAGAAAAAATTACAATAATTGATACAGTCCTGAGTCAATAAGATAACTTATTGTGTTTGTAATGCTCATGTTTTTTCCTAAGGCTTCCTTTAAATTATTTGGGATAGTGTGCTTCTTTTTTGCTGCTTCATATGTTTTGCACTGAGTTAGTACGTGCTTCACGGAGAGTGCTACTTGATAATTTTCACACATTGGCGGTACAATTCGCGTAAAGAGGTGTTTATGTGTAAAATTACTGTGTCCTAGTTGCAAACGTGTTATTCTCACTTCGTCGTGTCTATTCGCTGTGGGTTGGAGCCACGGTTTCATTAATTGTTTGATTTCCTTAGTTTATTTTGTGATGCACTCCACTTATGTTTCCACGCACTTAACACTTTATATTTTATTTTTGACTTAAAGTCATCTAAAGAAACCTCATTAATAAGAATAAAGTCCTGGCTGAAGGATGCTAAGCGGCTTAGTTCATCTGCTTCTTCATTTCCTTGTATACCTGAATGTGATGGAACAAACATGAAGTCAACAGTGATCTTATTATTATTTAGAATCTCTATTTCTGTTTGGATATCTGACGCAATTGGATTATTGGTATATAAACGTTTGATAGTGTTTGGGAAAGTATGTACTTTTCATATTTTTATATTTAATATTTTTCTGTTACGGTACTGTACTATTAAAATATATTGCTTCCTGTTATTTCGTAAAACTTGCTGGCTATCTCATTTATTATGTTTAAGTACGGAGAATTTGGCTTCCTCCTTTGTATTTTGTGTCACGTAAGATTTCGTATTATCGGGACAATTAATCTGAATTATCGCCACTCAAACTCGCAATACAATAGAATGATTTATTGGTACCACCACGTAACGCTTAGAGGGTTGCCTAGTTCTGACCATCTCAACGCACTTCTTCGTAAGACAGTGAACGAAAGCCCTTTTACCTTTAATAATGTGTGGATGCACCCCGATCTGTTAAACATTCTCCAACGCGCCTAGGCATGCTTCTGATCAGATAGTCAATATCCTCTTGTGTTATCTCATTCCAGGCAACCACCAACTCTTCTCGAAGTGCTTGTAGAGTCTCAGGAGCATGTTGCAATCTCCTACTCACACGTGCTCAATTGGGGATAAGTCGGGAGATATTGGTATCGATGCTAACAATGTGACATCATTATGTTGAAAGAAGTCTATTGTGACTCTTGCAACATGTGGTCGGGCATTATCTTGTTGGAAAGTTGGATTTGCCAGGGTGTCAAGATAGGGTAAAAGGTGGTGTTCTAGAACTTCTTGGATATAACGCTGCGCGTTCATGTTACCTCTGATGAAGATTAAAGGTGATCTGGAACCATAAGTTATAGCACCCAAACCATAACTCCAACAGTGTGATGAACATGTCTTTCAACAAAAAACTGTGGATTCCTCCTTTCACCACGTCGCCTTCTAACCCTCGCTCGACCATCGTGCATGCTTAAACAAAATGGAGACATCACTAAAGACAATACTGTTCCATTCCTGATTCCAGAGTGACCGTTCTCTGCACCACTGAAGGCGATTACGGCGGTATTCTGGAGAAGGAGGACCCTGTATGGTCGGTATGAAAACAGGCCAAAACTTCTCATTCGTCAGTAAACACTTCGCATGCCAATAGGTCTTCCGTCTTCTGCAAACCATTTATTTGCAATGTAGCTGGTAGTGGAGAAACGGTCTCTGAAGGCCAATAATCTTAGGCGGCGATCTTCACGGTCTGTTGTTGTACGGCGGCGTCCAGTGCCCATTGCTCTTTACGTACGGCCTTCTTGAAGCCATGCCTGATAACATCTTACCACAGTGTCTACACTTCTTTGCACTATAACTGCAACTTCCCGAAAAGAAAGTCCAGCTTCCCGAAGTCCCATTATACGACCCCTATCAAACTCACTAAATTGACGAAATCGTACAGGTCTCCGTACTCTAGGCATCGTAACCAATCGTAAAGAATGTCAAGAACCACAATCCGCCAAATTTGGATCTTAACTGCGCCTGCGGCTGAAATATTCATTTTTAGATTGTTAGTGAATTTAAAAACAAAAAGTATAAAAACCGGAATCTCTAACTGATAAGGCTACCACTTGTTTTTTTTCAGTAAGATAAATAAATTACACCAAATCTTATTGAAATAAAATCATTTAAAATGGGTGTTCGGATTTCGATGATACTTAGTACATATATATAAACCTTTTATAATTGGAGGTAATTAAAATGCTCATAATTTATTTTGTAATGATGAATAGGTCGATGTATATAATAAAGTTCTTTTTAAAGCAATCTAACACTGTAATTTGGTCGTTTTAAATTAATTATACCCTATATTAGTGAATAGTAAGAAATCAGGTACTGACTTGAAATCAGGTGAATTCATGACCTAACACAACTAATTACGTGGTCGATTTTACCTATATCGTAGATTACCAATTCACATCCAATTAGAAAATAACGTCCCTCCTGCACAAATTCAACAAGTAAAGCATAATATCGGGAAACTCAAGGCTGCGAATTACGATCTTTAGACTTTTGTATTATAAGCTACAGAATCAAAAATATTATTGACAATATTAACAAAGCTGCGATTAAAGCAATTCCTTCACGTTTTTGATACTCCTAAAAACGTAATCACTGTTCAAGAGTAGTGGAATAAAACCTGTAATATAGCTGCGAAAGCAGGGGAGCAGGCTTTCTTATGTTACACACAGACTACAAATCTCCATAACTTGACATAATATAAAAGACTTGTCGCAGTAGCAAAAACACTTTTAAAGAAACCAAAAGAAGGAGCTCGATTACTTACTGTCAAAATAAAAAATCAAAACATCCTAATTAACGAAGTATAGAATAAGGTAAACCGATATAAAAAGCAAAAACAAACAAACATGCTCGAAATAAATCCTAAAGATGACTGGTTAAGTGAATTTTGTAATGTATCAGCCCCTTACCCAAAAGAAACAACCCCCCCCCCCCCCCACCCAAGCACAATCGCTAACCAGTTAGCCCCAGTATGTAACAAGTCAACATAGCATGAAAATAAAAGAAAAAAATAAGGGAAAAAACCGCTTAATAGCATCCGCATGGGACACCTAACGGGCCGTATAGGCCAGATCAATCTAAAAGGGGTAGTTAGCCTAGAAAAGAATAATAATTATTATTATCTATTCCAAATTAAATAAAGAATAAAATTCGACGTAGTTTAACATTATTACACAATTTTTCGATATCAGGTTAGCTGCGAATGTTTAAAAATTACAAAACCACATACCTTCGTTGGAAAATAATGTAACGAAGCGATATACCAGCGACAAAAAATGGTGCTGAGCTAGGAGGTTACACTATCGCATGATCCATTTTAGCACGTGGAGCAGACGGTAAAATCAGCAAAAACTCTAGGGGAAAAGCGGTAAGACGCGACGCTTTACTTCGGTACTCGGACTTTGGAACAATAACGTAGTAAATGAGGGTACGCGTTTCGCGGGACATAACAACCAAGAAAATTGGTCAAGGAGAGGGAAGTGCTCGGCGAACTAGTGGAGTGCTATTCGGTCATCCGTCCGTGTGTGCTCAGCTCAGTTAGCGCGGTATTGTATCCGATGGGAACGGTAGTAAAGTATAAGTACCGAATTTTTCGTCTCTCTTAAAATCGTGATAGCATACAGTACCTCCAGCGTTCATCCAGACTGTTCCTGAGTTCCAGTTTGGATTATAAAGGCGTATTCTTTAGCTAGGGCCTAAATTCGCTAAGGTAACTAAACATAAATACTAACCAATGGGGGAATACAAATAATCGTCGATTGTCCACCTTTTATACTCCTTAATAAAGTCCCTTCTCGTCTTCTTTCACAGACTTTGATAAATCAATATTTAGCTATATCGTACATCTTATTAAACTTCTGACATAGTCTTAGTTGTAGTTTTACAGTTTATTAATGTATTGTAATTTTGTAATTAGGCTTTTTGTTTTTTCCCGGCCGGTTTCAGGTCGAGACAAGAAGAGAACTCACTTTTCGCTTTGTGTATTTCTCCCGCTTCTAACGTAAGCCAATAAACTCTAACTCTTTACAGGGCCTGCATCTGGAAGTCCTTTTATCCCCTTATCCAAATATCTCCCTACCCTCTAGTAAAGCCGCGAGGGCGGAATCACGTCCGTTTGGACTAGTTTAGACTAGTAAGCCTTGCCACCGCTCACTAGATAAGCATCCATCACATATAAGCGATCCTAAGATCCAATTTTAACGATAGATCTTCGATTTAATTCTCATTCTCAATCAGCCGATGTTACAGAAATGACAGGATGATACAATTTCACGTTGAAATTAATCTCGCCTCCGACCACCCATAGATAGAAAATGATATTATCTACCAACTAACCACAGTTTACAAAGACACTTCCTTTTTTTATCAATATCTCACTTATGGGAACTTGAAGTGCTTTAAATTATAAACAATAAATCTGGTACATTATAGTAAATAAAATACCATAATCAGCAAATTTATTGCAGTTATGTGGAATTTAGACAATCCTTAACATGCGGAGACTGCTATAAACTACTTGTACAGCTTACCCGATAATGAAATCATTTTCTATCAAGACTGTAATGTTTACACCGAATAATGAATGGAATTTCTGGATAGCATAGCAAACTCTGAAAATAGTAGAAGCTGTTGCGCAAGTAGTGGCGATAGGATAATGAAATTGTACTACCTGATATACCACCAGAAGATGCTGTTTAATCCCCAGAAGAGACTAACAATACAGAACATATATGGAGTCAGGAAACTGATTATAATTTTAGTGAACAGATTGACTCTCATGAAGTCCGTTTCAAAACACAGCAGAGAAATTTATCGTACAGAGAAAACTTGTATTACATTTTTGGTGAAAAAATTCTACAAATGATTTTATACTAGATAAATGTGAATGTTTTACAAGATCTGACGAAGAAAGTAATAAAAATCAAGGACCAGGCTATTCGATGTTTGGATAAATATTTCTATAGATGAAGTTGAAGCTCTCATTGGCGTCGATTCACAGCTTCCTCGGTTATAACTGGAGGTATATTTATAATTGGATAAATTTATAAAGTTGACATGTATACAGGAAAATTAAACGGAGAAAACGAAACTTTCTAGGTTGGAAGGTTGTTCTCAGTCTGACTTCTTCTTTGACGAATAAAAATTTTCTAATGGCATTTAATATTTTTTTTACATCTGGTCGTCTAAACATGAAGATAAAACAAAACTGAAGCGACGATATCCATCTAGGAAGAAACGAAACAGACCTGTATTTTACTATGAAACAAGCGAGTGGTTCCATAAAAAGTTAGACTTAAGGATGTCGGTTATCATATGCCAAATAAAGACAAAACTATTACAAGGTGTGAGCTGTGTACCACTAAAGGAGCTGAAAAAAAAACCGAATATTATGTTCATTATGCAAGGTACCTTTGTGCAGTCATCCTTGTTTTAGATTTCGTGGAAAGTAAATTATTTCTCTCAATGTTTTTTTTTAATAAAATAATTACATGAAACTACCCTATTATTACTTTTTGGGTAAAAAAATATGCTAAGGTTTTGAGAAGTGGGAAAAATGTTTCCCACCTCCAAAAAATCTTAAAAAAGTGGACCTAAATAAAAAGTTTAATCAGTTCTTAAAACGTACCTTTCAAATTAACTTGTAAGAATATTTATCTTAGTAAATTTATTTGGTTCATGCCCATAAAAGGATTTACACAGTTTTATCACCAAAAAAATAATTCACAAATACTCGTAATAAGAAGGTAGATGAAATTGCAAAGTGTGTATTTAAAAATAATAAACGGATATTTAAGAAATTTTCCTTAGCCGTACTTGTTTTCAATATTTAAGGAATGTTCAATATGTTGCTTACCTCAAAACGAAGTTCATTAACTGGTGGTTTCGCATAAGGTATTCCCTCAAAAGAGCTATATGTGTGTCCCTCATATGACTTTTTATAAACACCTCGTATGCGACCCAATGGGGTCTGTACTTCAGGTCCATTAGTAGCACCATGTACTAATAAACAAATTTATTAAAGCCGGTTTAAAAAATAATGTTGTCAACATTAGGAAATCAAAAAAGACAATTGTGTAAATTCCAGTATTTTTGACGACTATCTATTATGTAGCCCAGAGTAGATCATACATAGATCAGAACAGGTCCTAAACATCTTAAAAATAGCTCATTTTGAATCTTGATTTGATTCTAAAACTCCACGTAATAAAAATAACGTGTACATATCGATACTATACACATGGAAGTTTTATGGTGGCAATCAGATCACTACTTACATAGAGAGATTTGAAATGTGGGTATTTCGAGTGTTAAAAATAAATAAGCTTCAAGGCTCAAAACTTTCATTTAAAATATTTTATTAGATTTGTCCTTTATGTTTTGTTCTAAATAAAATGTAGTGAAAGAAATCACCTAGAGATAACGGAGAAGACATTATTATAAGAAACCAAATAGACTATATACTTGTTAACAAATGATATCGAAATAGTTTTAACAGTGTTAAAATCCTACCCAGGCGCTGATATTTAATCTGACCATAATCCTTTAGTGGGCGTGTATAGAACCAAGTTAGTGAAGTAAAAGAAATAGTCAGCAAAACAATAAATAGAAAATTCAAAGAAATCGATAATACAACGGAAAGCACAGAAGAGAAAATAGAATCGCTTAATAAAACAATAGACGACATTATAGACAATTTTATAAAGAGCGAAGAAGGTAAGAATAAGACATGGATGACGAAAAAGATACTGCAGCTGATGGAGGCAAGAAGGAAAAACAAGAACAACTAGATGTTTAAAACATTACAATGAGATATACAGAGAAAGACTAGAGAAGCCAAGAGAAAAGAACTCAAGAAAAAATGCCAATAAATCGAAATTCTACAAAGTAAATACGACGA